GAGACACAGCAACAGACACGGTGTGGAAAACAGAGCCACAGTAACAGACACGGTGTGGATGACAGAGACACAGCAACAGACATGGTGTGGACGACATGGATATTCACATGCAGAAGAATGAAGCTATATCCCCATCTTTCACCCAGTAGAAAAATCATTTTATGGTGCACGCCTTTAATCCCAGCACTTGGGAGGCAGAGGTAGGCGGATCTCTGTGAGTTCGAGTCCAGCCTGGTCTACAGAGCTAGTTCCAGGACAGGCTCAAAGCCACAGAGAAATCCTGTCTCAAAAAACCAAAATAAATAAATAAATAAATAAAAAATAAAAAAAACAAAAGTGGTTCAAAGACATTTTTTAAAAGTCTGAAAGTGCTAAAGGAAGACACAGAGGAGGCTCTTTTAGATACAGACACAGGAAGTGCTAAAGGAAGACACAGAGGAGGCTCTTCTAGATACAGACACAGGAAAAGACTCTCAGAAAAGGGCTCTAGTGTCTCAGGAAATAATCACAGTAATTGGCAAATGGAATTGCATCAAAATTAAAAAGCTTCTGTATAGCAAAGGAAACAATTTACAGAGTTGAGAGACGGCCTGAAGAACAGTAGAGAATCTCTGTCTACTATAAACATTTGACAGGGGACTAACATCTAAAAACAGTAAAGAACTCACTGCACCCCACCCCATATCAAGTCATTCAGTCAACACATGGGCAAGTGAACTGAGCAGATAATCATGAAAAGAAGAAACATCAGTGGCCAATAAACATGTGGGAAAAACATGGCTAGTCATCAGGGCAATGCGAACTGGAACTACACTGAGATTCCATCTCACTCCAATCAGGATGACATCATCAGAAACAACAAAGACAACAAACGCTGGTGGGAATGTAGGGGAGAGGCACATTTACACACTGCTAGTGCATATGTGAGCCAGCTGCAGGCCCTGTGAGAATCAATATGGAGCTTCTTTGAAAGCCTAAAGCCAAGCAAATCCACCCTGTGGTTCATATCTAGCACTCCTGGGTATTTACTGGAAAGACTCTTAAGTCAATATGCCACAAGAAATCTGCACATGTTTGGTGTAGGAGGTTCTTCTGTCTATGTGCTGCTTTCATTGGTTAATAAAGGAACTGTTTGGGACCTAGAGCAGAGATGTAGGGGAATAGAGCTAGGCAGGGAAAACTAAACAGAATGCTGGGAAGAAGGGGTGGAGAGAGACACTAGGGAGCTGCCACCAGAGTGAGACATGCAGAATCTTTGCCAGTAAGCCACTGTCATGTGGCAATATACAGATTAATAGATATAATAGATATGGGTTAAATTAAAATGTAAGAGTTAGTCAGTAAGAAGCTAAAGCTATTGGGCCAAGCAGTGATTTAATTAATACAGTTTCTGTGTGGTTATTTTGGGAGTCTGGGCAGCTGGGAACAAACAAGCAGCCTTCCTACTAATGGTGAGTCAGCCCAGTGCTGTAGAGTGCACTGTGGGAGGAGCCTTGAGCCACCTCCCTTCCCTGGAGTAAGAAGTCTGTGAAGCCAGCAGGACTTGGGGCTCCTCTTCTCAGCCATCCCCTCACTGCACTGTAGTCTGGCAGCACCCCCTCCCAAATTCACACTGATACTTGAAACACACATGGTAGTGTTAGGAGGAGGGAGGGACGTAGGGAACGAAGAAGGAAATGAATTACCATTTAGGAATTAGGAACCACTTAGGGGGTGACCAAGTAATGGAAGCCGCACGATCCTAAATAGCTAATGTTCCTAGGAAGAGCTGCAGAGGGAATTGCTCGTTTTGACCTTGTGTCTCCACCATGTGAGGACAAAAGTCCTCCCCTCTTGAGGATCCAGGAGCGTGGCACCATCTTAACATCAGAGAAGCAGTCCTCCACAGCTACCAAACCTTCCCACACCTTCATCTTAGACTTTCTAACCTTTAGAACTGTGAGAAAATGAAGTTTCATTATTAATAATGGAGTATAACAATAATTGGACTGTACCCGAACTTTGGGTTGACCTCCTCCCCCTAGGACCCACAAGAAATAGAAACCCCTGGGATCATGGGGAGAAAGAGAAGCCAGCATGTATCATAAAAACACATTTCAGGGTGGAATGATTTTATCCACAATCACCTTCCTATTCAGCTGTCCTACAGGGCCTTAGAAATTTAGAGACTCAGTTAGTGGGCACTAAATAAAAGAATGTGGCTTGATATGGATTGAAGAGTCCTTAAAGCAGCTTTAAAGACTTTTGACTCCCCCCCTCTTTTGAGAAAGGAAGTTGTACATAAAAATGGATAGGAAATTAAGATGGAAGTTCTTTCCATTCATGAGCTGTGACTAACAGCAGTGATAGCCCTCCGCCAGGCACACCCCACTTCTCCTCCTTAAAAATGACAGCCATGTTCACATGAACAGCCTAAAGGATGCTGCCCTCCTTTTCCAAATCACAAACAACAGTAAGAACATCCCCTTAAATAGAAGTTTCGATTTTATGAATCTTGAGGGTTCCAATGCATCATTGTAGAAATAGCAACACGTTCTCCGAGTCTAAGCCTACATCACCACAGTGTCACAGTGTGGAAGACCCTGCCTGCCCATTTCCTCCTGGCTGCACATGGGTTTATGGCCTGAATGGTTTATTTTCTTTGACCTATAATTTAGAAAACAATTAAAATTGGCTTCGGGTATAAATAGGGTTGAGACGACTCCGAGAAGAATCTGTGTTCCCTCGTGCCAGTGAGGGCTGGCCTCTGGGTGTGTCTGTGTTCAGTAAGTGTGCTCTTCAGATCATCTGTGCCATTGCTAGTATTTTGTTTTAAATTTTTATTTTGCGTGTGAGCATTTTGCTGTGTGTATATCTGTGCACAGTGTGAATGCAGTGCTTATGGAGACCAGAAGAGGGCGTTAGATCCTCTAGAAATAGAATTACAATGAGATGCCTTGTGGGTACCAGGAATCAAATCTACATCCTCTGGAAGAGGAACCATGCTCTTAACCACTGAACCATCCCTCCAGTCCTATTACTAAAGCTTTAAATTTGCCACTCAAATTTAAATCCTGTATTAAGAAGACATATCCCACGGGCTGGAGAGATGGCTCAGTGGTTAAGAGCACTGTCTGCTCTTCCAGAGGTCCTGAGTTCAATTCCCACCAACCACATGGTGGCTCTAAACCATCTGTAATGAGATCTGGCGCCCTCCTCTGGCGTGTGGGTATACATGGAGGCAGAAAGTTGTATATATAATAAGAAGACATATCCAGTAAGTGGTTTATAATGTTTCATATACTTCTAATTCGCAGTGGCATGCCTGTTGAGGATTTTTATTTTTCCTTGAGGTTTGAAGTGATATCATTGTTTAGTAAGTCCTTATCCCTAATAATGAGTTTTTTAAAGGACTTTTATTTATTTATGTGTGATGGTGTGTGCACATATATGTACAAATATTCACACCTGCATGCTCATGAAGGCCAGATGCCCTCCTCTATGGTCTCTCAACTATCCCCTTGAAGCACGATCTCTCCCTAAACTTGGGACTCATTTTCTTGGCCAGACAGACTGGAAACCACCAAGTTACAGGGTCTCTAACCTGGGGCTGGGGCAGCCACCTTGTTGTTACTTGGATACTGAAATCCAAATTCTGGTCTTCATGATTGTTAAGCAACTGCTGAGCAATCCAGCAACTATTTTTTAAAACTCAAAATCTGGCTTATATTAATATGACCACCTCAGATTTCATTTGGTTATGATCCTCCTGGTGTTTTCCTTTAGTCCTTTTTAATTTTTTCAGATTTGTTTTTGGAGTGTCTCTAGCAGTACCTGGCTGGATCTTACTCTAGTTGGGTCTAATCTGTCTACTGTGACGGTGGTTAGAGTAGTGGATGGAATTGCAGTCACAAATAGGATGACCCTATGAGGAATATTAGCTTCAATAGGGCACCACGCCAGCAACTGCATTCAAGAGTTGACTTGACAGAATAGAAAAGATGCAATATTGGGGGGAAAGACTCCAAGGTCAAATGTCCCATGGGGGAGCTTCATGCTACTGAACTGCACATCTGTTTGTGCAGAGCTCTTCTGTCTTTACCCCAGCCTTGTTCATAGACCGCTGCGTGTGATACTAGGACCAACAGAGGACACCTTATTCATTCCTAATGATTCCTGATGCTTGTCATCCCCAGACGAGTCAAGATGGCAGTGCTAAATGTGTAATGTTCTTTGTCTGTGACTCTACACCTGATGTGCAGGGATGCCTTACAGTACATAAACCACTTTCAGGGTGTATAAAAAGCTGGGTATGAGTCTTTTGCTGATATGTGTGTAAAGGGCTTCGTACACTGTACATATGCTGACATGCATGTGGAGGGCTCCTATACTGTGCCTGAAGAATAGCCTGTGTGATACATTTTTTTAACTTAGATTTCATTATAATATAAAATTTCATGTGTTTACCACTTACTGGCCTCTTTGTGAATGTCCCCCCCCAAAAGCCCAATATATCTAGAGAAGATAAAAGATATATTTTAAATAGTGTCAAAACCGCATGCTTACATAGATGCCTGTATAATCGTATACTTTTACCATTATTGTTCAAACCGAGGAGAAGCATCAACACAGAGCAGCTATGCTATGCTGTTTGGACTTTAGATCTCCAGCATATGTGCTATATAATCTCCGTTTTCATCATAAGTAGCCTTGGGTGGGTTATTACCATGATGAAACACCAACACATCCACACTGTGTATAAACACATGGATGAAGGCAAGAATGTACCTCACGTGCTTTCTGCTGCGTTCAAGGTCTCCGAAAGAGAACTTGGAACACAATCAACCCACACTCAAGCATTGCTGTTGCCCAGTGTTGGATGCTGGGGGTGAGATACTGTGTTTTAGCCTCTGCTCTCCTCCCTCCTGAATGCCAGGATTACAGCTTCGTTTCTATAAAGTATATTTTCTTGCAGACAGTCTCTATGAGTGCCGTGTAATATTTCCTACCTCTCTTGGCAGATCAGCCATGCAGAAGCTAGGAACGGAAGTGTTTGAGGAGGTCTACAGTTACCTCAGGAGAGCAAGGCATCAGAAGGCCTGTGAAGCAGAGATCCGGGAGCACCTGGAGACGGTGGTTCCTCGAGCCAGCGACTGCTTTGAAGTCGACCAGCTCCTCTACTTTGAGGACCAGCTGCTGACCACAGAAGGAAGAGAGCCCACTCTCCAGAGCCGCCACTGTGAAGCTGCCACCAAAGAAGCACATAACTTTCTGTGACAATCGATGGGGTTTACACTCTGAACTACACTGTGGGAAACCAGTGCGCAACTGGAGCCGCCATCTTTACCTTCGACCCTGGTCAGAAGTTTGGTTTTATCCCATGCTTTTTCGGTCACAGTCCAGCTGGCCTTGGTGAGCTACCCGTAGATCAGCTCCACTGTCTCAGTGGGTGGATGCACGCCTCATGGTCCCGACTTCTTTGCTCATGTTCTCCCTCCTTCTGCTCCTCATTGGGACCTTGGGAGCTCAGTCCAGTGCTCCTGTGTGGGTCTCTGTCTCTATCTCTATCCATCACCAGATGAAGATTCTATGATGATATGCAAGATATTCGCCAGTATTGCTCTAGGATAGGGTCATTTCAGGTTCCCAATCCTCAGCTGCCCAAGCTGCCCTGAAATAATCTTAAACATGAGCACCCACCCAATAGCCTTGTGTTGAGTCCAACCTTGAGAAGGACTTAAAATTAATAATAGAAGGGTGCATGAGTCTTAGGCCTATAATGTGATGCATAAAACACAGATGCATAATCTGGTAGGGAAAATGCAGTTGTGTGTTGCTCTGCTGTGGGCATATGGACTGAAAACTGTATTATTGTGGTGTAGAAGTTCCTTCTGTTTGTGTGTTGTTTTCATTGAATAATGAATAAAGAAACTGCCTTGGCTGTTAAAAAAAAAGAAGTTTGGTTATCTGACTGCTGGTGCTTGGAGCCCCAGGTCAAGGTCATAGATGATGTCTGGGGTCCTGGAAGGCTTTCCTTCATGCCTGCAATCTTCACTCAGGGTTTCTAGGGGGGTGGAAACTCTCTGACAACACAGATGCTCTGTGCTGTGTCCATCCAGGACATGCTCAGTGCACCACCACCATAATCTCCAGGAAGTATGGCCAATGTGCTTGTGATGGACACAAGACACCAGCCTGGACATTGGCCTGCTCATCTTCAGTGATTATTTTGATCAACACTTTTTTTCCTTTCTATGACTAATGTACATGTAGTATGTAAATAATGGGCTTGGATCGAAAAATCCCCAAAGTGATTCCCTTCTGTGATTTATTCCCAAAACTCATTCATGGAGCAATGAAGCCTTTTATTCATGATAAATACAGATCTCATCATTATAAGACAAATCACCTATTTTATCTTTTTTCTATTTACTTGTATTTTTTATGTGAGTGCTCTATCTGCATGTATGCCTGCAGGCCAGAAGAGGGCATCAGATCCCAATGTAGATGGTTGTGAGCCATGATGAGGTTGTAGGGAATTGAACTCAGGACCTATGGAAGAGCAGCCGGTGCACTTAACTGCTGAGCCATCTCTCCAGCTCTTATCTTTTTCTTGTAACAATATATTGCCAAATGTAACACATTTTGTAAAGGTGATGTTTGCTTTGTTTTGTTTGCTCTTTGTTGCTACTAAAAACATTTAAAAATTTACACGTGGATGAGGTATGAGTTGATGTTTTAAGGATTTTATATATATATTTGAGTCTCCATGTATGTGTGTGTACCATGTGTGTCTTAGTTAAGATTACCATTGCTGTGATGGAGCACCATGACCAAGAACAGGCTGGGGAGGAAAGGGCTCATTTGACTTAGACTTCTACGTGGTAGTCCATCACTGAGGGAAGCCAGGACAGGAACGCAAACAGGGCAGGAACCTGGAAGCAGGAGCTGATGTAGAGGCCATGGAGGAGTTCTGCTTCCTGATTTGCTCATCTCATGAAGGAGCCTGCTTTCTTATAGACCTCAGGACCACAGCCCAGGGATGGAATCACCCACAATGGGCTGGGTGCCTTCCCCATCAATCTCTAATTATGAAAATACTCTGCAGGCTTGTCTACAGCCTGATCTCATGGATTCGTTTTCTCAACCGAGGCTTCCTTCTCTGACGACTCTAGCTTGTGTCAAGCTAACATTAAGCCAGGGCCAGAGAAATTCTTGGAGCCTGGAACTAGAGTTATAGATGGTTGTGAGCCTCCATGTGGGTGCTGAGAACTGAACCTGGGTCCTCTGTAAAAGCAGCAGGTGCTCTTAAGCACTGAGCTCTCCCTCTAGCCCCAAGATGTGTGTGTATGTGCGCGTGCACATGTGTGTGTATGCATGTGTGTGCTAATATTATATTTAATCACACAAGCTATCTCCTCAGGCATCAATTATTTTATTCATTTTTAAATAATATTTTTTAAAGTTTTTATTTATTTATTTATTTATTTATTTATTATGTATACAACATGCCAGAAGAGGGCACCAGATCTCATTCTAGATGACTGTGAGCCACCATGTGGTTGCTGGGAATTGAACTCAGGACCTCTGGAAGAGCAGTCAGTGCTCTTAACCTCTGAGCCAGCTCTCCAGCCCTTTAAATAATATTTTTATTTTTTTTAATTTCATGGATTTATACAAGAAATATACATGAAAAATACGATGTATTTTTATGTCAACTTGACACAAAGTAGGGTCATCTGGGAAAAGGGAATCTTAATCAAGAGCTGCCACCATGGGACTGGCCTGTAGGCAAATCTGTGGTGCATTTTCTTCCCTGGTGATTATTATGAGAAGGTCCAATGCCACCCTTGGGCGGGTGGTCCTGGAATGTATAATAAAACAAGCTGAGCAAGCCAGGAAGCAACACTCCCCCATGGCCCTCATCAGCCCCTACCACCAAGTTCCTGCGCTGTTTGAGTTCCTGCCCTGATGTCCCTGAGTGACAGACTATGCTGTGGAATAGAAAGCTGAAACAAACCCATTCCTCCCTCCACACATTGATTTTGGTTTTGCCCTAACTAAAACAACATCTGTCCTCCACTCCCTTCCTCTGCCCTCCCCTGTGCACCCCATCCTGTCACTCTACCAATTCACAGCCTCCTGTTGTTGTTGATAATTTCTACTCAGAGGAGAGGAGAGGACAGTTTGTGTCTTCACCTCAGGAAGAGTCCTCTGGATGCCCCCAGCCCTTTGATGACCCACCAGATGGCAAAGTGGTCTGAAGAGAAGGGGCTGCAAAAGAAGCCAAGTTAATGAATGTATCCAGTCTCCTTGATGATGGTTATAATATTAGAACAGGATAATGCTTGTGTGAATTACTAGGTCTGAGAGGAGTTGCAGTATGCCCTGAGAACAATGTCTTGTGTTTTAGAACAGGTTTCCAAGAAGACAGGTGCAGATAATATCCTACTCCCCAGAGGCTTGTGGTGAATGCCACACCAGCCTTAGAAGAAGGGAGAGCCAGAATAGCAGGCTTTGGGAGCACAGCCACTTAAAGACAATCACTGGGGTTTACCTTCCCTTTCGCTCACTGGTGTGGGAGTGAGCAGCAAAATTTGATCTGACTTGAAAAAGAGCATCTGTCACCTCTTTCTCCTTTAGTCTTAATTTGGGGCTACTTCAGTGTGGATAACTGATAATAATAACTAATCAAGGAAGATGACAGGAATAAAAGTCACAGAAATGGGAGCTGAAGGGATTTTGTGCCATGCTGCTCTCTCTTCCTCCCCTGGTTTTCCCTGTCTTCTCCCCCCCCCCCACTCTGCCTTCTAGGTATACAGAAGAAATGCCTCCAGCTATTTTGAGTGATGCAGAGATAAAGCTCACCAAGAAGTGGAATGAAAGTTAATTATTTAAAGGCTTCAAGCCTGGGGCTGGAAGAAATGTCCTAGGTCTTCTAAGAGTCCAGCCATTGCCCTGGGCTTAGCATAAAGGGGAGTGACACATTAAACTATAGCTCCTGAGTGAAGACATTGCAATCTTCCTGAAGATGAGATGTTTAACTAGGGTGTCAGAAGCAAGGAGGACCAGGAAGAGTAAAAGAGAAACGAAGAGAAGGAACAGGTGTCTGTGTGTGTGTGCTGGTGAAGCAGGGTTAGAGACACAGTAAAGAAGCAACATTTAACAATAGTTCTGCCTCCCAAAATCTGTCTGAGGAAGAAGCTGAACACCAGACGGTGTGGCTCCTAGGCCTTCTCCTGCCATTACTGTGATCTCGAGCAATTCATTTCCTCCGAATCTGTTTCTTGTCTACCGGTGACTAGCACTGAGAAGAGTGCAGCTAATAGAGGGAATCATGGGAAATTGTCGTCATGGTGTGGTCTTGGTGTAGAGGTACTTCAGATGGCTGTAGATGCTCGTTGTGTTGAAGGAAGACCCAGTGACTGGGGTTAGCCTACTTGAACTTCTGTCATTGGACCCTCATCCACAAGCATTCCTTCACTTCTGAGGTTCTACTGTTACCGTTGCAAACACATCCCCAAAGAGAATCATTTGCAGACATTTGAGTGATCCTTGAAGGCTGCTCTGCAGATACGGATGAGTGGCTGGCTCACGGGACCAGCTTTATTTTCCAAACAATCTCCACCCACTTCGCCTTGCTAAGCTGCCAGGATAGCCTCAAAACAATCATCACATGGTATCCTCAGGTTTTTCCCAATTTCAGAAAACTGTTCATAAATATGGCTCAACAAATAATTAGTATATTGGTAAATATTGACTAGGAATACAGTGGTCATTAGAATCTATGTAGGACCCCAACAAAACCTGTTGATGTTTAATCTTAGTGAGACAGTAAAAAGCAAGACTAGGGGGGCCCTTTAAGCGGTGATTGAGTGAAAAAAAAATCTGCCTGCCTGGATGGTGCACGCAGTTATTGGTCCGCGGATCATCTACCTGTCATAAAACATGGCTCCTCTGGCCGTGTGATGCCTGTGCCACCTGGTGATTTCTCAAAGAGTCTCCATCAGCAAGAAGGTTAGCACAAGCTGTAGCGCCTTAACCTTTGACCTTCCAATCTCTAGAACTAATGTGAGCAGTGTTTTGTTCTTTATAAATGGCCTGGCCTGTGGGCACTAATGCAGTTGTTATAGCAACAGGATACAGACTAAGACACGCAGAATGGACAACTGGACTCCACATTAGTCCGGGAGGCAGCACTTGAGCAGCTAGAAACATTTTTGTTCTTCAGAAATGAGATTTTCACTGCTCTAAGAGATGGAGCTGTCTGGTTCACCTCACCCCTCCCTATACTTCCTGACAGTGACCTTATAACCTTAAGGCTATTTCTCAAAGCCTTGACTCTCCA